TCCCAGCTCTACATCCTGTCTGTGCCCAGTTCCATTGTCTGTCTGCATTTTTTCTTACAGGACATAATCTACCCAAGGTTGGAGTGTGTGTTCCTTTCTTTTTTTAAATGCCATTTTAAAAATTGTGCACATAACTCTCACACATTCTTACGGACTAAAGTGTTTGTGCAGTATTTGTGCACATTTGAATTGTGCACTTTTTAAATGTGTCCACCTTTGTCAAAAGTATGTACAACCATATATAAATATACAGATTTTAGAGTACAAATTGCCTCTGACTTTAAGTGTTTGCTGAAGAAAATGTGCATGAAATAGCCACAAGAGAAGATACCTCATATATTTCCAGTCTTCATCTCCTATTGGAAAGAAACATGTACAGTATGTTAAACTAGATGCATATTCTTTTTAAATGTATCTTATCATCTCTCTTGTTCTCCTGATCAAGAGGGATAATAAGATACAGTTGCTCTCTATTATATTAGTTTATTTCAGATGTATTAGATTTTAAACTGTTTGAGACAGGGATTTGTCATCTTAATTTAGTATTTAAAGTGTCATGATATCCTTACGTAGGATGCTGCTTTTGCTCCTGGAGTATATGCTTCTACTTTAAGCACCACTATGAAGGAAATTGCACTCCAACATCTGCAAGACCACTGAAATACTTAAGTGAAATAGAAAAAGAATTGGAGCTTGTACTTTTAAAATATTTCAATAATGACAATTTCAACTAATATCTAATTTTGCTATGACTATCACTGACACTATAGCCAAGAGTGGAAAATCTGAAAATGTATCATCAGCATAATAGAGACTAAATTAATCAGGATTTATTCCAAATTAGCAGGCAAAGGATTGAAGCCTAGATCTCCTTCAATCCATGAAGTCTACCGAACTGATTTAATGATTGCATTATAGTATCCTTTGTAATATCCATCATTATTTAATTGAGATTAATGCTTAATGCATTGTTCTCACTACTGTGCAGCAGAAATCTGCTCAAATGTCCCCATGAAATCTAGATCCACAAAAGGAAACTAAGGACAAAGTATTCAGGTTCTCATGAAAAAACTTAAATAATCTCACCAAATCTACATGATATATATTGCTTCTAAACACCTTTTTTTTCACAATCTGAGTTCAATCCTGGGTCCTTGAGTTTGACTTAGCCTTCTGTCCTTCAGAGGTCGGTAAACAGAGAACCTGGCTGCCTGGGGGGAGGGCTATCTAAGTAAATTAGGTAAGTTTTAAACACTACAGGTCAGTATAAAAGCAGCATGTTTTCCTTGCTTTTTTTTGTAAAATTAGTTTCATTACTTCTTCATTACCCTAAAAAAAGTATGTTACTAGTAACTAGTAACTCATTATTTCCAAGCCCTGAAAAACAGTCCACAAATATTATGCAGCCAATGGGATGTGCAGGTAATGCATATAGCTTGAAAAATACAAACCAAATGCTCCCATTTTAGAAAAACATACTGTCCTACCCCACAGAAATGGACATGATCTGGACATGGTGGGAGGAAGAAGAATTACACAGGTGCAGACTATATAAAGGATAATTGTGAGTTGGGTAGCTGACAGTGGAGCCAGAGGTTTGATTCCCCAGTGTCACTATTAAGAGAAGACCCTGCCTTTGTAACTTTGGTCAAACTGAACAGTCACTGAGCACCCACTAAAGAAGGGACTGGTAAATCATATCTGACTCTTCTATAGCTAAACAGTCCTTAAAAGGGTCATCATAAGCCAAGAATGGTCTTGAGAGCACGTAATACATAGTATAAGACTTCACAGGTATAGATATCTCTATTCATCTTCATCTTCTCTATTTTGGAAATATACGGCATCTTAGGTGCACACCTACAAGTCAAAGAATATGTTCTAGTAAAGAACAAATGAACTGAAATAGCAATATATATAACATGATAATTCAGAAGAAAGATACTCCTCATTAGTGGGGTTTAAAAGAGTATAAGACTTGTTCATTTATGTTATTTCTCTATGACATACCTATCTGCCCCTAACAATATATGTTTTGAAAACCTGAGCAACTAAAAAAATACAATAAATTATGATACTAAAATAATATTAAATAATTAGGAGAATAAAACAAGTACACAATCAACCAAGTCTGAAACTATTTCAAATCCATTTAAACAGTTTAAAAATGAAACAATAGCAACAGAACACCTGCCATCACGCCAGTGGCCAAAACATTTTTGCCTGCTTACAGAAGGTCAGAAAGATGGGGACCAGCCTAGCCTTCCTTGGAAGGGAACTCCACAGCCTGGGAGCAGCCACCAAGAAGGCCCTGTTTGTTGTCAGAGATCCCAGACACACACATATATATATACATGTTCAAGGCTGCGGGGAGTGTGGGACAGAGTGAAAGACCTCTCCTAAGGATCTTGACACAGGCACGCCCATGGAGAGAAACAGCCTAAATCAAACCATAGAAGGATTTATACATCATTACTACCTCTTTCAGTTGTGCCTGGAAACAGACCAATAATTGTAATGTCTCTTCCCCTCTTTCAGTTGTGCCTGGAAACAGACCAGTAGTCAGTGACAGTTTAAGAGTAATTTAAATGGTACTCTTAACTGGGTACGTATATAAATGTTTAAAGCCAAATTTTTGTTTGCAGCAAGTGCTGCAACAAGCACAATATGAATTGTAATGTCTCTTCTCAATGGTTTCAGAATGGAAAAGGTGTAGCTCTGAATTCTCCCAGTTGAATTGGCAGAGTATTTGTCTTTGGCTGAATTATACTCATTATATGAGATGTGACCTTATTCACCTAGAATGGAAAATGTTGCACTTCTCACTAACAATAATTGCAGATACAGTTACCACAGACCTTGTGTCGGTACTAGTTTTGTATGTGTATGTGTCAACGGAATTTCCATTATACCTAATTTGTCTCTTTGCCACTACTTTAAGCAACTTCGACAATCAGAAACATACGCATTCCCTTTGTATAGCATCTTCATCTTCTCAATAACCATCTCAAGCACAATAGATAGCCACAAAGTTCTTCTGGAATAAAAAATCAGGATGGAACCTTTCCATGAGAAGTGATTAAAATAGTTTTCACAAATTATGCTTGCTTCCAACTAATCCCTCATAACATCTGAAATTCAGATATTAAAACCTATGCTGGCGAAAACATAACATCTCACTGAAAATCTCCTGATTTGTTTCTCACATTCTTAATAGCCTCCTTCAGCAACACATTGTGAACTATAAACATTTTCACACCTATCACCAAGAAGCACCTTTGAGCCTTTCTTGCACAGGTTTGGCCATTGCACATTTTCTCCTATGTGAAACACAATCACAAGTGAAACGCAAATCACAAAACAGCAGTAGACATATTCTGGCCAATGTAAGTTTTACTTATATTACAGAACAATGGATTAGACAATTGATTTGAACAAGCAAGAAAACAATATGTGACTACACAGGTTGCCCTCAATGTAAGAGCAAAACTTGGATTAAAACTGAGTTATACTCCTTTCAGACCAATCCTGAGCATGGTCATTTAGAAGTCTCACTGAACTGAATTATATTTACTTCCAAGGAATCACACATTGAACTGCAATCTTTAACAACAACACATCTAAGACATTTGAGCCTCAGTTCTGTAATACTACTCAACTCAGTTGCAGATATGCCCTAAGCTTGGCTAAATTACTTCATTGGACCAGAGTTCTCTTTGTGTGTCCCAGTCAGTGAAGCGAGTGGATCCTGCACATGTCTGGATGTGATGGGTGTGAAGAAATTTGCCAGATTCATCACTGGCAAATGTGGAGGAACACCACCAGATGATTACACTGTGTGTTACTGTATCTTTTTGATCACTTTTATGTGTAAGCCCTCTACTGTACTGTATCATCAATCTTGTATGTTTCCAAATCTGGGGCCTACTTTCTAATTGTTTGTCTAAACTGGAGGAGACGGACTGGTTCTCTTATCTCCCTTCCCAACCGAGCTTGTTCGCCCTGCCCTTTCCTAACCCTCTCTGATCTTCACACCGTCCCAAGCTAGAGCGCACAGCTCAAATGCCGGTTTCTTCTTTCTAACGCGGTTTAATGCACAGAGTAGCCGATAGCCCTTTCTCCAAAAGGCCACCTCTTTCCTCCCTTTCTAAGGCATTGTACTCGAATTGGGAAAACATTGCGCTCAGTCGGCACCGACCAGCGCGGGCACATCTGGACTGCCTGCCACTCCACCGACGGCGCGGACGGCCCTTTCCGTCCTTCTCTTTTCCTACGGAGAAATCGGATTCCCTGAAATCAGATCATCTCGTCGTAACGATATGAGGGGAAAGGGGCAGTCAGTCCAATGGAAACAGGACGGAGCTAAAGTGTTAAAATTGGAGGAAGATCGCCTTTGAAATTTCCAATCTCCAAGCCAGCTTAGGACTTCAGGGTTTGTCTTTAATATCCCAGGTTTCTATCAAACTAAAGATCCTCACAGAGCTTTTTTAAAGAAATCGTGGACACCTTAGCGCTTCATCTTGAAACAAGGTGCAGAGAATACCCGCTAACTTCCCAGCGGAGGTTGAAGGCTGGGACCCTTGGCTGGTTCTGGGAAGGCGCTCTCTCCTCCAGAAGAAGGATCGGGGCCCTTCCAGCGGCTTTCCTTGCCAGCTGTCCTCGGAGCGCGCAGCTCGCTCCGGGGACTCGCTCCCGACCCACGCCCGAGAGAGCAGGAGCCGAGCAGCGCCAGGTGTGCCGAGACAAGCGCGCAGCGAAGGCGCGCTCCGTTGAAAACCCGGACAGCAAAAACTTTATCGAGGTAGTGATGATGGTGAAGGGAGGCAGACTAGCTCGATCCCGGGCAGGAGACCGACCAGGCACCTTTTCCGGTCTGCGCTGTCCTCCGCTTGAGTCCTCCCTACTCTCCGTTCACCGAAAAACCACTAGAAGAAATACAGCGCAGCGGACGCGCCCAGCGCGCAGAGGGCACTCGAGTGCCCACCACCAATGGCACTTACCTGCCAAAAGGAGCCAGGATCCCAGCAGCCCGCCCAGTACAGCACCGGGGAGTCCCCAGCCAAACATGCCTCCCTTCTTCAGGACAGAAAGCTGCTAAGAACGAGAAGAAGACGAGCCGCTCCTCCTGCGCGCTGCCGCCGCCGCCGCCGCCTTCCTTCCCTGGAAGAACTCAAGGGTTATTCTGGCGAGACGCGGCGCCGCGGAGGACCTGGTCTCCAAAGGGCGACGGTATTCCTCCTTCTCCTCTTCCTCCTCCTCGGCAGGCAGACGCGGATTGGAAGCACCAGGCAGGATCCGAAAGGCGTTGAGCTTCGCGAGCTCGGCCCCTTTATAACCTTCCCTGCCCACATCCTCCTCTCCATTCACGCCTTCACCCCCCCTCCCAACGCCGCTTGGTTTTCTTCTTCCTCCCTCCCCCGCCAAACTACAGCGAAACTTTCCGCCTACCCCCCCTCGTCCTCCGCCGGGGGGGTGGGAAACACGCCAGATAGTCGCGGGCAGGTTTCAGGATGAGAGTGAGAAGGAGCACGACTTTTCCCTTCTCCGGCACGCTGCGCTCCTCACTGGGTCACGTTAGAGGGCTAGGGAGGAGAGCGAGTACCTTGATTGCGCTGTATCGCCAAACTGCAGCCTCGTCAATAGCACCCCGATCACGTAGAGAGACATCCCTGCAGGGTTAGTTACATTGAAAAGCATCAGGATTTTCAACACACGCTTTCTAGAAGCACAGATTACTTTCTCATAACATTTGCGATGAGGCTCAAAGGCGGCAGCCTTTTACAGACCGACCGCTTAAACTCCGACAGATATTTGCCAGATGGATGGATATGGCTGTACAGTCTCACACACACACCTGGTAAATATCTTTTCGTGAAAACAAGGCAGCCACCGCTCTGCAATCCGCTGAATCGAACGCGTCGCGGAAGTCAAACTGATGGAAAACACGAAAACGCTCCAAAAGTTGCCACCGTAAGGCAGGGATCGTTGAGAGATTTCTGTCCGTTTGACTTCCATGGCGCGACTTGATCCAGCTGATTGCAGCGGGGTGGCTGCGCTTCTTTCAGTCAAAAATGCCCTTTCAATTTAAATGTATTAAATGTATTAAATGTAACATGAGAATAGCCCGGTAGGTGTCCAGCCATGCCTGCCTTCCACGCAGGGACCAAGCAGATGCGAAGGGGATGCCAGGTAATCTTACCTCCGCCAGCAACTAGCGCGCAAACGTCCGCTGGCGTCTCGGTATACTATGGCGATTGCATTGAAGGGTCATGACAGATCTTTGGGCAATTTCAGAACCTCGAAAACGGTGTACATTCAAAACCCACCACTAAAAGGCTGCAAGATGTATGCGAATATTTCTGCCACTGCGGGTACAAACGTTAGGAAGATGGAACTGTATCTGCTAGCCGTCGTAACTGCCAAGGTATGTGTATAAAGATGTGAAACTAACCAGAAACCGACAAAGAAAAGGAAAGAAACAAAGTCCTGTCAATTTTAATCAGCTTTTCCTTTCTGGGCGGTTGTTTCTTCAACAGGGGAAGAAGTTAAAATTCCACACCCGTCCGATTGCACAATCTATTCCATTGATTTCGAGACGAAAACTTCTCTTTATCGCAAAAGACTGAAGTTCCTCAAACCCCAAAGTAAAGTTACTGCATTGGCATCTGTAGAAACGCCCCCTTTCCAGAACCTCGTCGCTCCAGCTGAGAGATGTCTGCTGTTCTCTGCCTTGGATAAAGGCGTGTAACAGTTGCTAATCGCTTCTGAAGCCAGGATGATTCACGCAGCAACCACTACAGGTCATCACGACTCTCCTACTCTGTAGGCGGTCTGGTTCTTCGCTACTATCCTCGTCTTCACGCTTTCACACCCCTGGGGCAGAAATCCATCTGCAGAAACCGCTCCACGTCGCTGCAACGTTAAACGGTTGGTTCATACAGCTCAAGGGACAATTAACACGACTAATCGGCATGCTATGAGAGCAGAAGAAGAGCATCTTGCCTCAGAGAGGGAATGCTAAATCCACTCAAGCTGAATTTTCAAAGGACACATTCTGAGTTCAGGATATCGAAACATTCTTTTCTTCATATTACCTGTCTTAGCCTGTTCATTGTTTTAGTGCAATTTGGAAAAATCCAGAGTTAATTTTAAAAAAGTAAAGGGAGAAAGGGGGATTTCTATAGCCATTTTATTTTATTATTCTGCACATACAGAATAATGAGTACAGCATTTTTCTCTGTCTTGTTATGTGGTCACCAGTGCTTTAGTATTAAATTGGATGTTTTCCAGAAAGTAACTTAAACACACACACCCATTCACCCCTCTCACTAGTTCAGGGTTTCCAGTGATATAATGTACATGTGTAGTTTGCTTTGATTTATCCCCATGAGAGAATCACATTGAATTGGTTCATCACTATACACTATACAACAACACTACAATCCAGCCCCCGCTCCCCAAAAATATGGAAAGCAACAGCATTTTCTCAGAAGTAGATGATTAGGATCACAGGCCTAAAAACAGCAAGTCTTACTTTTAAAGTGGTGTCTCTCCAATGTTATCTTGTTGTTCACATGTAGCCAATGATCCCCCCCCCCTTTTGAGTGAAGTTACAGTGTAGTAGACACTGCATGGCTCAAACTTAATACACGTGCTCATCGGGATGCCTATTGAGATTTAAGCCGCTGATCAGAAGCAGCCACAACCCTATAAGCTAGTGAGCAGGAAATCTTGGAGTGAGTAACCAAAAGTATTTTGTATGAATCCTTCAGAAGAGACAAATGAGGATACAATTGTATCTGCTGGCCTGAAGCAGCATTGTGTTGCTGAACCAAAAGTATTTTGTATGAATCCTTCAAAAGAGACAAATGAATATACAATTGTATCTGCTGGCCTGAAGCACCATTGTGTTGCTGAATTTTGAATTATAGCTAAAAACCTCTAGCTGAGCAGCAGAAGTATAGGGACATACAGAACAGAATTAGCTTTAAGTCTCCCCAGAGCAGACCACCCCTTATTGTCTTATCGATTGGTGCTTACAGTCACAATAACTCACTCTGTGACGCTAATAAGAGAAAGAATAAAAACCTTTCATTTACCCAGTTCTGAACATATCAAAAACAGCATACTTTACAAAAATGACCGCTGACAGCAACAGACCTTCAAGAGAGTCACAATCTGCTTTCCACAGACTCCTGCAGGCTATATTCTCATAACTACACTAACTGCTAACTGCCAGCAGAATAAAGAGAGAGGGAAAAAGACACTTCAGCAGAGGGGCATGACTCTCTTTGAAGGAGGGAAGGAACAATTGGTTACTGCTGGATTATTTGACAGTCATCTCAGCCCAGAAAGGTCCATCCCAGCCAATCTACTATAGGCAGCAAAGAGGCTGCTGAAACTCCAATAGATTGTTTATCTGAACTGCCTAGAAGTTTGTGAGTTGTTGGCTCTTTCTTTAACCGCAAACCAGTCATGTGCTCTGCTCCAAGCCTAGGGTGCTGCAGGAAGGGGATATAGCTGAACAGGGATAGTGCTAGTGACTGAGAGGCCTACAGGTGCATTCAAAGTCCTAGTGTAATAATGAACAAAGTAGACAAGCAGAGTTGTTTTATATTTTGGCCAAAACATATTTGTGTGGGAGCAACTAACTGGAGAGATATAGTTCTACGTGGGGATATAGAAAAAGAGACAGTGGGGAGCTCCTGCAGTGACCTGTAAAATATAAGCTATATATAAGTCTTCCTACTTGATAATGTGAAAAGCTGCATCTGCAGAGGTGGCAAGCTGGGTTGCCGTGTAGGAAGAGAAGGGGCAGCAGATTGAAGCCCAGTTGCCCAATATCCAACTATACACCTATGCTTGATCAAGGATGATGAAATGTTTCTTGAGTAGAGCAGAACAGACTCTCCTCAGTAGCCGTAGAGGCTGGGGGTGCCTGTTAGAGAAGAAGAAGAAATCCAGGTGCAGAAGGCAAGCACTTGGAGGAACATGACACAAAGAAGAAGGGTTATCAGGAAGTATGTTATATACTTAGACCTACAGGACCAGTATCAGGCGCTTCTTTTGGACAATGGCAGTGTTCTGAATTCTGGGCTACCGGAACAAGGACAGCAGGCAGGGGCTTCAGTGAGCACAGAGGGGACTGAAAGATTTCTGCCACTTTTTAAGAGGAAGAGACATGCAATAGTGGTAGGTGACCCCCCAACTGAAGGGAACCAAGGCAACCGTTTGCAACTGTGATAAGACGCATCAGGAAGTGGGCTGTCTCCTTGATCTGAAGATGTAGGAAGTGATAGAGCATTTGCTAAAATTTATCAAGCCTGGTGACCATTATCATTTCCTTATGACCCATGTGGGGGCAAATGATACTGAGAGGCACCACCTTCAACATATTGCGAGAAATTCCAAAGCTCTGGGTAGGAAGGAGGAAGATCTTTGGACACAGGTGTGTATTCCCCTCCCCCGACTCCTTCCTGTTGAAAGTTATGGCCAGAAAGAGAGAAAAGAATAGGGGAAGTGAACAAGCGGCTGTGCAGATGATATTATCAGGAAAGGGTTGCTTTCTTGACCGTAGTCTGCATTCCCAAGAGGACTTTTGGCAAGAGATGCTGGCACCCTATAATGGTTGAGAGGAACAGGCTTTTTAGAAGTTTTGCACATGTATTTTACAGATGTTTATCTGGCCAGAAGGGTTTTAAACTGAATCCTGTTAAGGAAGAGAACTGTATTCTAGAGGAGAAGGGGGATACGAAATACTAATGATGACAATGTTAATAATGCATCAGAAACTGAGATGATGGTATAGAAACCTGGCAATGAATGAGGAAAACAATTTAAAAGCACCTGAAAAAAACTCATGATTTCAAGTGTATCTAATCCAATGTACAGAGCATGGGAAGCAAATAAGATGAGATTGAATTGTATTATTAGTATTAATATTGACAAGTATTGTTTGATAAGTATTACTGAAGCCTGTTGTGATGAGACTTGTAATGGGAATACTGTAATTGATGGTCCCATGGTGGTCATTAGGCGGCAACATATATCTAATGTCCTACTGTTTAACCTACAGGCTTTTAGCATACAAAAGGCTGGAAAGACTTAACACCCAAAGAAAAGTAGTTTTTTGTGACACTGCTGATGCTAACGTTGACTAACCTGTATCAGCTAATCAGGTTCCCTGAGGGATTTTCAAATTACCAGCTTCCTTTTCTCTCTTACCTGCCTCTCTTCAGCTGATGAGGAAAAGATGATCCTAGGACAATGGGGGATGAGAAAGAACTA